GTAAGGTGCCGGTTTCGTAAAATTCTCAAAGTCAAAAACCGCTCATCCCGTGGTGCTGTTACACTAGGCCGTCCAGAACCAGGACTGGGCCTTCTGTACACTGTACACTGGGCCTTCTATTGTAAGAACCAGTTTCCCGAAAACGCCTGACGGCGTCTCGTAAAGTTTCATATGGAACTCCGATGGCATTAGCTGCATATCTAATGGAACGTCCATCGGAGTGGCAGGGTAGGGGGGGGGGCGATTAAAGAAGTGGAGGGTGAAGAAATTTGTGTATGTTGATTATAAATAATATTTTTAACTATATAGTTTTTGTTACTGTTATTTTCTCCAAAGTTAAAGATTGAATTTGTTTGAGTACCAATATCTTTGTTTTCAATGCTATTTATTGTTTGTTTTGTAATATCTGCGAAAGTTCTGTTAAAATGGGTTGGGTGCTGTTCTCTGTATAATCTATTGGCTTTATTTAAAGAAATTTTGTTCACCGTTTGTATAGTTTTTATTTCTCGTTGGATTATAAAATCAGGGCAGGACCTATTACCTACTACCTTCGAGCGCCATTTGTCCGTTTCCGCAGTTCTTGCATCGCGGGGGTAAAGTGCATTTAACGTTATCAGAGTGTTTTGCATCTCCACATTGTATACATACGGCTGTTTGTTTACAGTGATTTGTCACGTGTCCAAATCCAAGGCAGTTAAAACATCATAGGATTAGGAATGTATTGTTGTACTTTAACCATATGAAATCCTTTTTTATTGTTTCAGGAGTTTTCGGTGTCAGAAATGTGGTAATATATGAATTTGTAAAAACATTTCCGTTTTTTCTGAATTTGGTTCGAATTATATCGCTAATTTGGTGTGATAATTCGTTTTTGATTTCCTCAATTTCAAGAAATTGAAGGTCATTACACCTAATTGTTCCTTTGCTGAAATTAAGAGTGTTGTGAGGAGACACCTGTATGGAAATTGACCACAAAAGTTGTCACACTTCAGCAGTTTCTCTGACTGATTTGCATTTTTTGTTTCTATTATTAACGAGCCATTTCTTATTTTTTAAAATATTTTTTAGATCTCCTACTAATCCTATTAGGATTACTTTTTTTTATAAATAAGAACTTATTTATAAAAAAAAGTGACGCTTTCTGGAAATCCTGTTCATCGGATCTTTGTATAATGAAAAATGTAGGACTGATTTTTGTTTGATTTGTATCTTCGAGTAATATTTTAATACGACCGTGAGGTCGTTTTCTTTTTTCCTTGGGGCTTTTAAGATCTACGGGTTCTCTCAAAGATAAAATAAATTAAAAACAATATCCTCAGATAAAAATAAGATAAGGGAGAAAAAATATGTATATGTTGATTAAGAAACAAAAGAAGAAATAAATAGAATGGATTTGTTTCTTATCTGTATTTGTCTTGGTTTAGCACTGAGCGACTTTCTCTCTATCCTAATTCCAAACACTAAGTGAGCCTAGTATTGTGTTTGCTATTGCACTGTGAATATGGAAGAAAATATCATTCATTATACAGATAATTATTAAACAATTTTGTTGTATTATTTTAAAAAAGGTAAGCGTGCTGCAGAAGCTCATAGAAAAATTTGCAGTGTTTATGGGGATGATGCTTTAACCGAATGCACCTGTCAAAATTGGTTTGACATATTTCATTCTCGAAATTTTGACATCAATGATGCTGAATGGTCTGGTCGTCCACATGAAATTGAAACGAGCAATGTTAAGGCCATTGTTGATCAAAATCCCACCCAATCACTGCGAGATAATGATAATATAAAATGTTATAACTTCAATACGACTTTAGCTATCTACAAGAAATTTAGCAGGAATTTAGAGCCTCATAAACTTTACAAAATGACATCAACAGGACCTTTGTAAACAAACTACAAATGGAGATAAAAATTAAAAACCTATTAGGAGTTTTTGTTTATTTATTTCTTATGTAGACAATAAATCAAAAAACCATTCATACGGCTTGGAGCAATAATTCAGCTTTCCAACGGATATAGTAACATCGAATTTGGAGAACATCCTGAAGAGTTATGAATAATCGGAGGGTGTTGTGTTCCACCAAGAAATAAACCTCGCATCTCATTGGTCATTCGCAATCAATTATTGAGCCTTGGATGGGACTTTTTGCCCCACCTCCCAATTCACCAGACCTAGCTCCAAGTGACTACCACTTATTCTGGTGTCTGCAGAACTGCATGAATGGAAAGAAATTCCAAAAGGAAGAGGACATCAAAAACCACTTGGATCAGTTTTTCAATAATAAACTCCAGACATTCTATGAACATGGCATTATGCAGTTAGTGGAAAGATGGAAAAAGTCATATTAAATAATATTTAATATATTGTAGATTAAAATAAATTGGATGTCTATAATACATTGAATTTTATTTCACTCTAAAAAACTGAAAGGACTTATTTGGCTTAGAAACATTATGTATGTCATTTATAAATATGAATCAATTCCTATAACACAGATCTGGGAGAAAAATACAATTTCATAACCACTTTACATGAAAAATAGTTGCAAAATCATTATTTTTAATTTTTTATAAATAAAATGTTTGAGTGTGATTTCGGTCAAATCACCTCCTTGCACAACCGTTGACCTAGAAACAGTGCTTTCCCTAAATAGTACTGAACCCCAGACCCTTTATGGTTTGTAGTGGTACACGTTTTAAATAAAATGTGTGTTTAGGAAATTCTTTTTATTACAATACATCCCAGATCATAGAAAAACAAGAAATAAAAGCTATACAACTCTTAATTGCAGAAATTTTTGATGGAAACATAGGTACTTTTAGGAGGCTGTTTAGAAAATCACATGATTTCTTTACACAACTTGAGATGAATCTCAAAATTTTGCCTGATAAACCTCAACTTAATTAATACACACTTAAAGCTTATTAAACAAGGAAGTTTTCCTATAAGTGGAGTATCTGTATTATAGTTGAATAATGAGAAAAAAAATGACATAATTTATGATTTTTTTAAAAACAAGTTTTAGCTTAGTTTAGCTGCTCAAAAGTCCTCTTTAAATTGTCTTAATAATAACAAACTCAATTTCTATTTGGAGTGAATTTTATCTATTTTACAGTGAAGCAATTGTTAATTACTTAAACTAAATATTTCTTTACTTATCACTTCCTATTTAACAAAACACATGGCTTACTTAAAAAAACTTGGATTTTGTGTAGCCCTTGAGATCTGCTATCTCTCCTATATATAATATAATATTTATATATATATATATATATATATATATATATATATATATATATAATATATATATATATATATATATATATATATATATATATATATATATAATAAACGCAGGAATTGTTATTATCTGTAAGTTGGCATGGAAAATGGGGAAAATGAAAAATTTAGGCTATTTTTTAAGGAGGCAGAGAATGTTTGAATATGTATTACAGATTTTTTCTTTATTTACTTTTCCAAGTTAATAAATGCAGCTTCTGGAAAGTAGTCTTTTTTGGTCGTTCCGAACTGTGGGAATGGATGGGTTATCAAAATCAAATGTGTGGCCAAGGGCTATGGAGAGTTCAGCTATTTTTGGAGTAAACAGGGTGCATGTGGAGATGCCTGTATTTGTGCTGGTATATTCGTTTTTTGAGATAATGTTTGCTTTCTGCTATGTAGGAAGAATTGCAGTTTAGGCTAAAGCAGGGGGCAGGATGGCCAAATGGGCTAATGTGTGTGCACAGCACCATGAGTTGCTCGACAACCAGATAACCAAGTTTTGAGATTGAAGAAAAGTATGAGTTTGTGTCCCAGTGCCAAGAGGGGATTTTAAATTCCCTGCCCTCACCCTCCAGCTCGGGGAAATCCCATATAGCCTAAAAGGCGAGTTAAGGAAGAACAGAGAAGAAAAGTTTAGGCTAGAGCATGTGACACTGTATACTATATTTGACTGTTGTATGAGCAGGACAGAATCTTTGAGTTTGATGTATAATTTTCTTAATTTACTGTTATTTTGAAACAGTATGCGTAGATGTAGAAATTAAGGATTTTTTGAGACAGGATCGGGATGTATGGGATTGATCCGTATTGGTGAATCATGGTGGGAGATACAGAGCATATTGTGGGAGACTGGTGAAGGTGAGGTTTCGATTGTTTTTTAATTATATTGTTTATTGTGTGATTGGGAAAGTCATTTGATTTCAGGATTTTGTATACTATAGTTAGGTTATTGTCATAGAATTTTGATTCAGAAAGTGTTAGACAGTGGTAAATCAGGTTTTTAGTTACATTGATTTTTTGGTGGTAAGGATGATGGGAAAAATAACTTAGAAGTTAGCCGGAGTAGGTAGGTTTGGTGTTATCATTATTTCTGGTAATGAAGAGATCGAGAAAAGTGAGGGCATTATTTGATTCTATTTCAATGGTGAAACAGAATCAAGGGTGGTATGAGTTGAATGCTCTGAATGAATTTATAAGTTATTATCTATCAATCGATTACTTATTTTACTCAAATAAACAAATCAGTTGATATATAATAACTTATAAATTCATTCAGAGCAAAGTCAGAAAACAGTAACAAAAAAAATAATAAAATTTTACAACTTTTTTTTCTTGGTTCTTAAGGCGCATTGGCAAGAACCCTCGGACATGGTTATAATATTTTTCGACCTAGTATGACCAAGAAAAGTTTCATTGAAACCGATGACCCCACGTCCATAACCTCCCCTTGTTAGTAAGCAGTAATTTTGTATTTTAGAGAGTAATTAATTTAAAGTTAATAATAAACAAACAAATCTCGGTAGGTGTTAAGAAAAAAAAAAGTTTTTTAATAAAATCAATTAATTGCTAAATAAAATTATGTATATACTATATTTTAATGATTTTCATTTTAGAATTTAAAAAAAATAGTTATATGAATGATTATCTTTTTTTTAAATATTCTTTTATATTTAACAAACATATTTTTTAATAACTTATTATATCTTTGTTACAGAATAAAATGAGTGGTACCTCATTTGTTAAAATACTAATAAAAGCACCAAACCAGTTGGTGGATGACCAAACAGTGCATTGTGAACGGAATTGGACTGTTAAAAAACTGAAAGATCATCTTGCCAACGTTTACCCTTGCAAACCTGTAAGGAATTGGTTTAATTTATATAATGATATGTAGGTAATTAAGTAATGTGAGATAACATTGAAATAATAATTTCCTTTATTTTGTTTAATGTGTAATGATTTCAGTTTAAACTGCATTTTAATTTCATATACAGCGATGAGAAAAAGTCTTTGAACAAACCAAATTTTTATAAAAATGACAAATATTTCCTTGAAATTTGTTTTATTTTCTTAATTTTAAACGGATTTAACCTTTCTTACACTGTATATGTAATATAATTAGCATTAATTTCAATTAATAACAAGCCAAGGGACTAATCCGTTGTGATGAATATTTTTTTTCCTCTGAAAGAATAATATGATATTATTGAAATTTCACTACTTTATTATCCAATTCAGACTTTACTCATTATTGTTAACGTCAAGAGCTTTTATATAAACTCTAGAAAGCTGAGGGTATCTGTTAAAATTGTTCTAATATTCTTCACTTTTATTCAATCATTTAATTTAACATTTTATATTTCAGAATTTCTTTTTATGTTTTCTATTTAATCTTACTTATAATTCAGAAAATGGCAAAATATCATATTTTTGATAATTATCTCAGAGAAAAATAAAGTTCTGCCCAATCAGCTTAAGCCCAGATTGTATCGCATGCTATGTAAGTATGATGCTATGGTACTGTTTTGCATCCAGTTTTCCATCAATTCACAAGAGGTCTCCAACTCCAGATCTATAAACATACCCCCAAACCATTAAGAAGCCATCTCCATGCTTTTCTGTTGGTTGCAAACATTCATCCGAAAATTCTACTCTATATCTTCTTTAACATACTGCCTCCTGGGACCAAAAATTTCCAATTTTCACTGATCTCTCCATGAAAATTCCATTTGTATCATTCTTCTTCCGTCCAATTTTCTTGTTCTTTGGCAAACTTAAGTGGCTTTCGCTTGTTTAGAGATCGAAAAAATGTTTTTTTCTGGCAACACAACTTTTAAGGCCAAATAATAGGAGTTTTTTTGGGATCAACTTGGGTCCCTTTAGCATTAGCTATTTCCTGAGCCAGTTCTATATGAGATTTTTAGTAGTTGTGCAAATGTAATAATTTTAAATTTTGTTCAGCAGCAGGACTATGTTTTTTAGAACTACTTGAATGTTTCAAGTCTCCGATTTGATGACATAATGAATTCCAGAAAGAGATCCTTCAATTTCTTTTTAGATTTCCCAGATTTTAAGTCCTCGTTGATGCAATATTATAATTTTATTTCAGTCGAAAATATGATATTTTAACATTTTCTGTAATAAAAGTTACATTAAATAGGAAACACAAAGAAATTATGAAATATGGAGTTTTAAATTATATTATCGAAAAAAAAAGTGAAGAATTCCAATATTAGAAAAATTATAACAGATACATTCATCTTTCTAGAGTTTATGCAAAGGCTCTTGACATTAACAAAAAAGAGTAAAGACAGAAGTGGATAAAAAAAAAAGTTAAATTTAAACAATAAAGTAATATTATTCATAGGCATAAAAACATCAAGACGACAGATTGGTCTCTTGGCTTGTTGTTAATTGAAAGTAATGCTAATTTAAGTATATATTACATCTACAATGTCTGCAAGATTAAATCAGCTAACAATTAAAAAAATAAAAACGCTTTAAATCGTAATATTTATCATTTTTATAAAAATTTAATTTGTTAGAAGTTTTTTCACACGACTGTACATTTATACTATTGACAGTGCTGCTTACTGCTTAGAAATGGGCTAAATGAACCGGCAGCTCGTACGGATTAAATGTTATCTTTTAGATCTTCTGATCTGCCCCCACCACTCGCCACAACAAGAGAATTTTGAACTATCTTCGCACAAACATATCCTCCACCTTGAAATATCTCCTTTTTTCTTTTTTTCACTAACAAAAAAAAACAAACTCAGAGATTGGTGATTACCAGGCAAGGCATAAACAACAGGAAAATTGCTTGGTTTACAATAAAGAAAGAGATAAATTGAGCCAGATAAAAGGCAGGCTAGTAAATTACAATTAATTTACAATAAAATAACTCCTCATTATATTTAAGTAAAAAAGTGTTCATATCAATCATCAATATGTTTCTCCAGAAGGGAGAGGTACTAAGTTGTGCACGTTCATACCAAAGTGGCTGTAGCAGTCCTCAATTTTACCACCCTAACTACACTGTCAGGACCTGGAAGTGTCTCTATTATCCTGGCAAGCCGCCACATCTGCAGTGGAATATCTTTTTCATGTAGAATTGCAAGGGTTCCTTCCTTATATTTTCCCTGTCATTATACCACTTGTTGCGAGGCACCAGCTTATGGAGGTATTTATTATACCATCTCTTCCAAAAAATCTTGGAAATCATCTCCCAACGGCTTGTCAAAAGAAACACAGGTGTGTCTTCTTGTTCTGGTCTGGCTAGGAGGGATTGACATATAAGAAAGTATCCTGTGGTGAGGTAATCCAGGTTATCCGAAGGCTGACTGCTAGCATTACAGATAGGACAGGAATTGAGAATGGCTTCAACTCGTACCAGAAGAATATAAAATTCCTCATATGTGAACGCATGATCCTGGAGAATGGCAAGAAGGTGTCTCTTAGTGGATTTAATAGCTGCCTCCCAAATACCAGCAAAATGAGGAGATGCTGGAGGAGTAAAAGTCCACTTCATACCCGTCTGACCCAAATGGTCAGAAATGGGTTCGCTCTGGCCCTTAGCGAATTGATAAAGCTCCTTCAACTTCTTGGATGCTCCAACGAAGTTTGTTCCACGGTCACTATAAATAAGCCAAGGCAAACCACCTCTGGCAATAAATCAATCTAATGTGGCAATAAATGAAGGAGTGATAGGTCGGTCACAAGTTCTAGATGGATGGCCTTGGTGGACATGCACACAAAGAGAGCTAACCAACATTGTGATTTAGGAGCATTGCAATTACTGGAAAACTTCACAATGAAGGAGCCGCCATAGTCTATTCCAACTCGCTGAAAGAAATGACCCTCGGTCACCCTGAAAGACTCTAAGTCATTCATTTTTGGAGCCTGTGGCTTCCCATTATTTTTGTGGCACATAACACATTTATAAATCCGGCTTCTAACAAGTCTTATTAGAGAAGGGATCCAAAATTGATGATAAATGAGCGACTGGACCAACAGGGGCCCACTCTGCAAGGAATACCTGTGGTAATGGTCACACAAAAGGACTGCTAAATGAGAATCTTTAGGTATCAGCAGCGGGTGCTTACTTTTTTCTTTGATTGTGGAATACTTCAATCTACCTCCTACCCTGAGAGCTCCGTCCTTATCCAAAAATGGTGTGAGCCTGTTTAAGGAACCCTTATTATAGTTGATTATAATTGATAATTATAATTGATTGTCTTACCACCTTCAAGACAATCAATTAATTCAGTGAAGAATTTCAACCGGTCAAAAGCAAATCATTGAGTGAGTTTCTTCCCAGCATCTTCCCCGAACTGTTAAATACGACTCTAAGTTTTGTCGTGGAAGAATCCTTAATGACTCCACGATGGTTCATGACGTATGGAGAAGGGTTCTTGGCGAGGCGGACATGATCCAATCTTACATATTCATCCATCTGTGCAGCATAGACATTCCCAGATTTCCCCTAAATTTATTTCCGGATTTCTAAATCTGCGTAGAGCTGTCTCTTCAGTGGAATCAAGGTCAATCTGCTGGTCACAATGGAACGTAAGAGAAACAACAAATCTACCCTGAAGATCATGAGTGCATGTATTTATAAAGTGTTCTACGAAAAAAGGAAATGAAATGAAGAATTCAGTGAAGAATTTTCTCTGACATAAATTATCGAGGAATCCTTAAGATCGTCAGCAGTCAAGGTTCCAGCAGCAAAAACATCTTTCTCCCGATCTCGGCAACGTTTAATAAATTTTAAAATAAAAGCAAAAGTCCTTTGCATCTTTAAAAGGCTGGAATATTTTTCCAGATAAATCAACAAATTGTTAGGTTTTTCAGCTGCTAAAAGAGATATTGTTTTTACTTCAGGCAGAACAGATGGAGGTTCAATATGGTAAATAGGCCAGTCAGAAGAAGGTAACAAAATAAATGCCGGGCCGTTCCAATTAAGCTCATGGGAAAGTATCTGGTGTGGTGTGAGGCCTCTCGATGAACAATCGGCTAGATTCTGTTTTGTAGGAATATAGTGCCAACAACTGGGTTCTGTTATTTCCAAAATCTGTTTTACGCGATTGGCAACATAAATCTTAAGTTCATGTGGCGGTGTCTGTAACCATTAGAGTATGTTACGAGAATCTGAAAAACAATACACTTCGTCAATTTGCAAATGACTTTTACGTTTACCAATGCACGCAAGTAGTCTGGAGGCAAGATGAGCAGCGTTTAATTTGAAACGAGGCACTGATTGAACCTTAAGTGGGGCCACCTTACTTTTTGCTCTTAGCAAATAAATTTTGGTAGCTTCGCCTGGGATCACACACCGGTTACCTTTCTCGGAAGTTTCTGAAAAGGCGATTAGTTGCATGGATGATGCATTCAGGTTGACAATACAACGAGGCAGGCAAACATTTTTCAAGCTCGGAAATTCTTAAAGAAAAACCTTCCACAATGAAGACACACTAGAAGGCAACTCATCATCCCAATCAGCCTTAAGCAGCCACAAACGTTGTAATAGACATTTAACAGGAAAAAATACCAAACTGATATATCCATTTATATCAAACATTTTGGCAATAAAGGATAGAATACCTCGCTTTGTAAAAATAGGCTCACTTTCCTGTATTGAATACCTGAAATGGTCGAGTTTAGAATCCCAAAACAAACCCAAAACCTTGATAGTCGAGGAGTCTACCCTCGGGTATAACAGAAATTCCTTTTTTGGAATTGCTGGAGAACTTTCTGAGTTCAAACCCACCTGCTCGGAATAAGGCCATCAACTCATTATACAGATCCAGAGCCTCATCACTATTGCGAGCACTAGTGATTACGTTATCTACATAAATC